GGTTGTGGTACTGTGATTGCCGCATATTAACCAATTACTTTTGTCCCAGCAGATACTGGCAACAGCTTATATCCGTCATGAGCCTTGGGAAATGGGAGTGCACAAAAGGAATGGGGTTGTCTATCTTGATGTGCATAAGCTACCAGAAAGACCGCAAAGTGATTTAGATCGTAGGAGGTAGGCTCACCTACCTTTGAATTTCTTGATTCTTGGATCTGTAAATATTTGATATAATCAACAGAGCGGCAATCAAGGCAGATTATTTGGGTATGTTGACTGTGCTAAAGAGCAGTAATCAATATAACAAAAAAGAGTAGATGTTAGGGAAAATGAAAAGAATTTTGCTAATAATGCCTTATATTGTAAATAATGCCATATATTGTAAAAAAATATGATGTGTTGCTTTCTACTGCTCAAGCTTTAACTAATATTCAAATTAAAAATTTTATCCCCCATTTTTTTTTTTTGATTTTATTGAGATAAGCCTTAAACTTAATGAGTTTGGAAATTAGATGTTATGTAGGATATTGTTTTGAAAGCCTCGCCACTGAAGATCCTAGAAGAGCAGATGGAGAAGGGATACATCATGTTGATGCCAATGTTGAATTCTGTTCTGTGATTAAGACAAAATTAGGAGCTCAACGCATCTTAATGGGTGCTGAGATGGATTGCTGTGATTCAACTAATGACGGAAAGAGATTCTATGTGGAGTTGAAGACTAGTTGTGAGGTTCATATAGTTCTGGCTGTCTTGTGTTATATTTCAATTTTGGCTCTTATTTTTCTTTTCTAATAACACATTTATGTTGGCTTAATAATATGAGACTGTCATTTTTATGATCCAGTTGAATTATCATACTGAGGAAAGATTTGAGAGAGAAAAACTGCTGAAGTTTTGGGTAAATTTCCTATATTTTATGATCCAGTTGAGCTATCATTTGTTTTTCATCTCCATGTGTTCCCTTTTCAATTTTTATGATATATTCAACATGACTCTGTTTGTGCTTGCAGATCCAGTCATTTCTGGCGGGTGTTCCATATATTGTCATAGGATTTAGGTAACTGTTGTTTCTGCTTCATATCATTACAAAATCTTTGATTTTCTTTTAACATGGTGTGGGAAAGTTACTCAATTCAACTAGGTTTGGAGAGATTGATTTCTGCTTATTTTAACGTTTTGTTCTTACATCTTGCATGCATGACAACTGAAAACTCATACTGCTAGTGGTTTCTACTTTAGTGTGTTTATATTGTTTATTTTCACTGTGTTACAGGGACGATGCAGGTCGTCTTGTTCGGACAGAAAGACTTAGAACCAAAGATATAACTCAGAGAGTAAAAATGAAGAACTACTGGCAGGTATAACTGCTGTAGGGTGAAAGGTGGCTAATCTTTTATGTGGCTTGATACTGCATCATTAGTTAATTAAAACTGCAGTAAGCACACCCTGTGGGTCATGGAGAACGCTCCAGATGTTATTTCCTTCTCTCACATCAATGATAAAAAGTACATACTTATAAGTGCAATTAATCGTTGCATAGCTAATTAAGGATCGTTCAATATCATCTTAGGAGGATAAAATCACATTTATATCTGTAAGTTCTGAAGTGTGATCACTTTGCTTTTCATGATAATTAACAAAATCTGTTGGCAGGGAGGAGTCTGCTTGGCTTTTGCAGATGAGGTATTAAGCTGGCTCTATGGAACAGTAAAAGAAGGTGAGTAGTATACGCGCTCTCTGTTTTTATTTTGTTGAAGTAATGGCCAACTGCTTTTATTTCATGTGTATTTTTGGTTTTCAGGTGAAGATTACATTTTGAAGTTTGCTCCACCTTTCAACCGTCTGGAGCTTCTGCAAGCCCAGTCCTGCCCAGATGTAATTGCAAGTCATTTGGAGCTGTTGTGAAAATTTTGAGACCTTAGCTGTTATCTTTTAAACAATCCGGTACGCGAAGTAAGGGGAATCAAGTCTGGTGTTTTCCCGGCAACTTTGATCATTTCACGAACCTTTTTAGTATATAGGGTTACCCTCTGTGAGTGCTGACAATTGCATTCACAATTTTATAGAATTTTGCTGAAATATTGTGTATGGCCTTGCTTAGTTAGAATATAGTTTTTCATTTTACTGTTCTCGGCTTTGTGCTCTTCCGCTTTCTAAACTTGTCGGAAAAAACGTTCGCTTAAGTTTTCTTTTAAGAGCTAACATTAGAAAACACTAACTACATAGACAACACATTTATATAATTCAGCATACAAATATATTCTGAATTATATAACTTAAAATATTTATTTTTATTTTGTATTTTGGAATATAAATTTTTTTGAAAAAACAGGTTGAAATTATGAAAATCTAAGAAGAAATGGTCATTATTGCCACTCAGCTGAATTTAAATTCTTCCAAATCTCCTTTTATTGGAAAACACTAAGTTTTGAATCAGGGTAGCAGAAATCACATTTTGACTAAGTGATTAACTTGCAACCTTGTGTAATTACAAAGACCTTTTGCTTTATTAATGTTTCTTAGAAACATAATTGGAACACATTCTTGCAACTTCGATCGATGATTTGATATCCTAAACATTTGATATCATTCAAGAATTCTAATGTAAACCACCAGCTTGAATTTGTTGGTCCTCAACTTATTGGCAATGTGTGTCTGAACGTAAATAAGTAATTTTCTTGTCATTTATCAAAGACAACATTGAATCATTAACCTACTCTACAGATTAAATCATTAGACCTAGAATTGTTCCATTAATAAAAAATTTAGAGACACCATATTCATCACAAATTCAGATAGAAAAATTGGACTAATGATAGTAAAGTTGATTCACTAATTTGAATTAGAAGATTTGTTTGTATTTCACAAATTCAGGATAGAAAAATTGGACTAGTGATAGTAAAGATGATTCACTAATTTGAATTAGAAGATTTGTTTGTATTTCAAGAATGCCTTCATTACTTTCATTTAAATTCATATTTCCATCTCCAATTTTTAATATCCAATTAGTAAATTCTTTGATATCTGTTGTAGTTTGGTCTGTGACAGCATTTAATTTCATGTTCTTAGAAAGTTTGACGACTTTGCAATATTTCTATAACTCATAATAGTTTATTATTGATTTGATGACATCATATTTAGCTCATTTTTTTACCACGGTAAAATTTATTAAAATCTTCTAAAACAATCACTTTACCTCAAAAATGTTTATCTTTGTTTGAATCATCGATATTTTTCATAATGTCCCTCAATGTTCTATCAAATTCTCTAAAGCATAGTTTATTCATTATGGATGTCTAATCCCATACAATCAATTTTGTTTCTATCAGGAGTTTAGCACGAAGACTACCTTGAGTGCTGTTCCAAGTTGATTCCTAATTTATCAAGATTGGAATGCAAAATCTATAATGTGTTGTTTTCCCATTAGGAAGTAATAAGTATGCAGTCTCACTCGAAGCTACATTTAAATCAATCATTCTCTTGAATCTCACAAGAGTTGAGTATTCACCACATGAAAGTTTTACCTTTTTCACCATATAATACCCAAAAAAGAATCTTCCTTTTTGTGAAACATTGTTTCAAAAATGTTTTCATGCTTAAATATTCCTATTAGGTAGAAACTAGGCCTATTATCGGATCTAATGAATAAAAACACCATTTTACCCTAATTCAGTCTTAATATCCGTGTGAGATATAATGTGACTTTTTTTTCTTTTTCAAAACTTCTTTTAGCGAAATTTTTTTATCATTAGACTTGGTGTTTTTATTATCTAATTTTATTTAAAGAGGAAAGGCATGATCTACTTCAATTTAGCAAAATAATATAATTTTAAATTTTTTTATTTATTTATGTTTTATGATTATTATGATAAAAAGAAAATACCTTCAAGAATGAAAAATATCTTGCCTAAAAGAAAATCATTAAATCTAGAAAAGAAAATTATTTGGAAGGAATAGAAATGAATCGAAACAGGAAATCATTGTTTAAGTCTCAAAATTTAAAATTGCATCCCTCTCCTTGAAACTTAACCTCAAAACTCTAGCTTCCTGCAACACTAGCCACGGTGTCGTAATGTCATAATTAAGTGACAATTGTATTAATTGAATCAAATTAAATCACAGAGAGAAAGTGATAACATACATTCTATCCATGACCTAAACACATTTTAGAAGAGTTAGAGTTGTTTTGAAAAATGAAACAAAATACTTTCTCTAGGACCATCATAAAATAAATCTAAACCTAGTATAATATTCTTTTTTAGATTTTATATTAAGAATTAAGTAATGTATGATTTATAAATTTGATAGAAGGTGTCCCATTACAGGACACAATGAATGAATGACCACATGACAAACTCTTGCTAAAAAAGTTTTCTTAGAAAGGTAATGATAATGTATAATTTTCTAAGTGAATAAACTTTTACTAAAATGAATTGCATGACACTCTAAAAATAAAGAAACTGAATTGCATGGGACTCTAAAAGTAAAGAATTTGAAGGGTTTTGGTCTACTTTGTGTAAAATCAATTTGAGAATTTAAAAGGTTATACTGTCAAAATATTTGAACAGTCGTGTCTTATTCCAAGACAGCAACGTCTCGTGAGCTCCCTCTAATCATCCTTATTAGCTCCCTAACTTCGTCTTCTTTTTGGCTCAAAACCTTGCTTGAGGAGGACGAATTCTGGAAGACAGCACAGGCGTTCGTTATGTACAGAGAGCGAGGAGTGGGATCTAAATCGGAGGTAGCTTCCGCTGATCAGAAGCAAATCAACGACGTCCTCGATGAACTGCTCGAACGATTCTCGCCGTCCACATCCAGAGCCGCCGGCATCAACGGCAAAGACCGCTCATCCTCCTCTTCCCTCTTAGCCGCCGCCAAGGACTCCCGCTGCGCCTCCGTCACCGCCCCTATCTCCAAGAATTCCAACGCATCTGACGGTTCGAGATTTCTTCTTTTCTCTTACCGTCTGATTTCTTTTCGATGCCAATCTCGCCAACCGAATCCCAATCCTTTTCGGAGCCGGCCGTATCTTTACATAGACTTTTATGGTTATGTTAATACGCTCTTTGTAGAACTCCTGAATTAGTTTTTACTGTTTTTTATTGCTCGAATAGCGTAGAGAAATAGTTCCGGTAGGGTAAAACACGGTGATTTTAATTGGTCGAAAAGTTTAGAGAGGTAAAGTTGACGTAGAGTGAATATTGAGCTGAACTTGGTGAATATTTAGTTGACTTAGAGTATTATTAAGAAAAATGTTTAAACATCGTATGGTCCTTTGTTCCTCTTTGTTTTCTTTTATTAAATTTTATGTCATAATTTAAATCTTATTTCCACTCAATAAAATAATCAATCTTAATATATTTATTGTTCGCCACATCATCCATAGTTAACATTCTTATCAATAAAAAAATATTATTTTTATTTTATATTTAAAATTCTTCAATAAATATGAAAATCATTCCAAAATTTAAACCTAAGAAAAATATAGAATGAATGAGACGGAAAATCCTATTTCTAGAGCTTAAGAGAGACAAAAAAAGTTATGAGCCAAATCATATTTTATCATTAATTTAAGATACATTATAATATAAAAAATAATTTTGTATTAAAGAAAAGAAATATAAAAAAAGTGATAGTATGAAATAAATTTAGAACTTTTTTATATATATAGTCCTCATGTGAAAATGTTTGAGAGGGAGAAATGGTGTGTGTACGGGGAGTGAGGGTTTGAGGGTGGAAGTGAGAAGGAAGCAGAGGAGCAAAGAGGTGAAAAGTGATCAGTAGTCTGAGAAAGCACTTAACAATTAGGATAAAGTTGGCTTATTTTTACAAAAGAATATGATCCAAATTAAGAGAATTTCAAAAATGAGTACTGAGATTATCATACAAAAAAGTGAGTACTAACAGATGGTTTAAACCAATATTATAAATATTTTTGGTCGTTTGACTTTTCTAGTCAGTCCTACTTAATATAGAAAAGGTTTGATTGTTTGTTGCCAGCAAATTTAGGTATTCGTCCCACAACGGTGCTTCTGTTTTTTCGCAGAAGTTAAACATGTTGAAGAATTAAAGAAAATATCATTGTTGATTTTATTTCTTAATTCGTTTTATGGCAAGATGTGATTTTCTCTGGCAGTATTGCCTGCCACCCGCAATGCAAATAACCAGGGTAGATGGGGGTTTGGCCGCGGTCGTTGGCAGCAAAATTATCAAAATGATAGAGGAGCCGACCTTCTTCCTCGACCTGGACCTTATCCTCAGAGGCAGAATTTTGGATACGGAAATAGGTTTCAGAATGGTCTCCATGATAAGCGCTTTGTCTCTGAGTTGAAGCTTTCAAAGAGTGAAGAAACTCTTTCAAGAAAGTGCATTGCTTTTCCGGTGGTAGGGGAATCCTATTTTCCTATATTTAACTGCTGCTACATGCAATTGATTGTTCAATTTGCTTTGAGAATTTGAGAAATTACCACGAAGATAGAATTTTATGTTTCAATATTAAACTTTACTTATTATGTTTAAACTGGTGAGTCAGGGAAAATGAATTATTGGTTGTATTGTAGAAACAAATTACTCTGATTATTGAAGCTACTGTTTTTTTACCTGTGGTGGTTTCTTGACTCATCGGTTTAGTGTTATGTTATAAATTGCCTTTTTGGATTTGTGTTCTGATTACGGCATTATGTTTTCTTCATTATTTCGGTAGCCTTGTGAAATTGCCTGCTATAGTCGTGTAGAAGGCGGAGAAGTACACTTCGATGACCGTAGTTTGGTGAGCTGTTTGATATCTTCAATTATTTTATTGCTTTTTGTTTCGTGCTCTTTGCAATACTTTGTCATGGTTTTATCTTATGCTCATTTAAGTGCTTTCTTTTTCCTGTTTATTTAGAGACTTTTTAAGCGCCATATTACTGAGGATGTTGGAGCTGATTTGAATGAAGGTT